TGATCTGAACTGATAACAGCAACAGTAATTTTCTCCCCAGGTGAATATGCAGCAATAATCCTACTATAGGAAATATTAGAAAAATAATTTCCTAAAAATTTCCTATTTTTTATTAGAAAAAATAAATATACCATCATCGCTATAATAATAAATGTTAATATTACCACATAACAAATCCTTATGGTCAAAAATATTGTGCCAGGTTGGCAGTGGCCAAAATGGTGTATTTTGGAATTTTTTCCAAAATATTCCAGCTGGGCTACAGTTCAGCAGAACAGCACTCTGACATATTTTGTTTATTCTGCTTCAGCCAAAATCTTCAGGCAAAGATGACACAGTCAGTACATCTCATCCCTCTCGTCTCTTCGCGGCTTGGGCTACACCTCATCTGCTGATTTTTTCCTTTTTCTTTTCTCCCTTTATCTCAGTGGTTCTCAACCTGTGGGTCGGGACCCCATTTCGGGTCGATCGACCATTTCACGGGGGTCGCCAAGCAAGGCTGTCCGCCATTTTTTTGTCCGCCATTTTTCCCCCTTTTCCGGCGGGTGCCTTACCTCCCTTGGGCTGGGCCAGCTGGTGGTCGGCCTGCTCCGTCTCTGCCGCTTGCCAGCTACGCCTCGGCCGGCGCAGGGGGCGGAACCACGCATGTGCGGCGCTCCTGGGCAGGGAAAGTCCTCAACTTACAACCGGTTGGGTAGTCCTCGACTTACGACCGGTTTAGTCCTCAACTTACGACCGGTTTAGTCCTCGACTTACGACCGGTTGGGGTCGCGGCATTAAAAAGGTTGAGAACCACTGCTTTATCTCTTCTTTAGCTACGGTACCAATGTCTTGCATTCAAGAGTAGCATACTGAACCAGCCATCTGCCGCCTATCGTCCCAGCATTCTTTTCCTTATCTCCACTCAGCCATGTTAATGTCCTTGGCCTGTTCCCTTTCTCCCCCAACCCCCCAAAACACAAGTTTGTGAGTTTCAGTCTAGATACAGACCATCCAGAATAGTTGTTCTGCATATGAAATGCTTGTGCGGCAAAATTTTATACATCCCTAATTCAAGAGGTGCTTTGAAATGTGCAGGACTCTGCTTCCAGAAGGATTCTTCCCAGCTTCTTATCTATTTTCCATTACAATTTTGAAAGTTCGTAAAGCTTTCACCTTAGCCAGGCTGGATGCGTTGCCCTCGGCAGTCCTTTTTGGACGGTTTAAGGGCATTCCTATGCACCTTCGGTTGTGTCCATGTGGTGATGGCTCTATAGAAACCCTAAACCACATGCTGCTTCATTGTTCTTTATATAAAGACTCTAGACAGATTCTTATATATCCGATATTGAAGAGGTTTCCAGGTAGGGGATATGAATTTTATCTAAAGTTGCTACTTTCGGATAAGGATCCGAAAATATCAATTCAGGTTGCCCAATTTTGTGCCACCATTTGCACAATACGCCACACCATTATCAAGGTCTGGAAAATTTTAATATAATGTTTTATTTTGAGAATTTCGGATTATATTACATTGATTGTTTGATGGTTTTATATTCTGTAAATATGGAAGTAAAATTGTCACTGTTGTTACATTTTGATTATGTCTGGCCTTATGGCTGTAATAAACAGATTTTTTTAAGTGCAGGACTACAAATGAAGCTCTTCTCCTTCAGTCATTAAAGCAGTCATGTTCCTTATGTGGCTCCTATATGAGGTTGCTTTGGAAGCTGTTCCTGAGTGTTTCTGCATGAACGAGAAAGAAATGGCTGTGCGTGTATGTGCACACAGACCCAGCCAAAGCAGATTTCAAATCAACTATGCATGCAAAATATGCAGTTTTAACAATGAGATGAGAGAGGAGCTTCGTTTGCACTCCCATATATTGTGAAGTATCTCTTTATACACTTCTATTATGTACAGATCCCAAATGAAGCAGAAGGTATCTATCTTTTGGTGATGATCATTACCAGATTTGAAACTCCCCAGAGTGTATACAACTGGAAAAAAAATGTTGTATATCAATATTACTACCATGTAGCATAAAGCAGGATACTAAACACTAAACAGAAAAACTAAGTAGAAAAAAAATCAAACTAGCCAAATCATAAAAATATAGTAACTTCAAAGCATGATGACAACAAAACAAGAGACATCAAACAAGTACTTGTTCTCCATTCATGTAAAAAGGAAATTAGCTTTAAAAGCTAAAGACTTGACAGAACAACTACCTAAATTAACAGTTCCTAACCTTGATTCTATAATCTCAACCACTGGCACTGCTGAGTAAGGATTACAAAGCACACTAGTCAGCATCTGGGTTAAATTTAAGTTAGAACCCATTTAAAAAGCTAATTGAGAACAAAGCACAGCTTTATTAGATGAATCATGTTTAGCCATCAAACAAAAATGCAACTAACCCATTATAGCATTAACACAGAACAACTTACTCAGGTGCTAACAACTCTACAATAAGAAGTTTGTGCACTGTCTCTTGATTTAGAGAAAGATTCTTTTAAGATAATACATCAAACGCTATTTAGCTGAATATTCTTTCTTAGAGAAATTAAATGACTAAGACCAACAATTCATCAGTTTTTTTAATTAGCTCTGTAAATAAGCCAAAGGCTTAATGAGAACAGTAATCTGCACTGGAATTCATTTTTATCTATTACTCTTGCATAGATAAGCCTGACCAGTATTTTGTTTCTATTTGAAAAAGAGATACTGTAGCTGCTGCCTGGCATTATAACAATTAGATTTCTGAATAAAGCATTTAGATAAAAGCTTTGTACTGCTCTTCTTGGTAGTGATGATGGAGACAATTAAGGACAATAAGTAGTTTTCTGGACAGCTGAAAGGGAAGAGGTTCAGTTTCTGCTCTGAAGTTAATGCCAAATGACTATTTCAAATAATCTATCATTTTTACTCTCCTTCAATTTATATAAACCAGCGGTCTCCAACCTTTCTGGCTTGGTGGACTGGTGGCAGTGGCGGCAGCAACAGTGTGGGGAGAAGAGGGGGTGATTTCGTGTGCATGCGCACCACTTTCACAAACACAGGTGTGCATGCGTATGAACACACTCACCCGCCACTTCTGGGGCCCGATTCTGAATGGCTGCAGCTCGGCCCTGGCCTTGGCGACCCTTTATATAAACCAAATATTCTATAGTTCTCCCAAACCTCTGAGTCCATGAGGCCATTATAAGTTACTATCTAGCACATCTGGAAAGCATCACACATTACACGGTATCCAAAATCCCTTTCAGAAAAGCTACATTTCAAGGAGTCATTTCTTGTGGCATCTTTTTCAACAATGATTCACCAAGTATTGTCCGAAAACCCCTTTGGAAGAGTTCTGTATTCAGTTTCTTCCACATGGCAACACAATGCTGAGTAAAGACAAATCTCCAAAGGCATCATTTTTCCATCCCTGGAAGTCAGTACTTCTAGCTATGGCCTTCTAACCTTCCCAAAATGGAGGGCAACCAACTGCTTCTTCTGGCATGAATAGTCTGGAAAATTCTAGTGGCACTAAGCCATACCACGCTTGATATATGAAGATCAGACCTTTAATCAGCACTCAGAAGCTAAGAGATAATCAATACATGTAATCAACAAACAAGTGAAATATAAGCCAAGAAACCATACCTTTGAACAACCAGACCACTGTACAGGAAGTCCTCAACCTATGACCACAATGGAGCTCAACATTTCTGTTGCTTCGCAAGACATTTGTTAAGTGAGTTTTGCCCCATTTTTTTTACCTTTCTTGCTACACTTGTTAAGTGAATCACGGCAGTTGTTAAGTTAGCAACATGGTTGTTAAGTGAGTCTGACTTCCCCATTGACTTTGCTTGTCAGAAAGATCGCAAAAAGTGATCACATGACTCTGGGACACTTCAACCGTCATAAATATGAGGCAGTTGCCAAGCCACTGAATTTTAATCACGTGATCATGGGGATGCTATAACAGTGTGAAAAGTGGTCATAAGTAACTTTTTTCAGTGCCGTTGTAACTTCAGTCACTAAATGAACTGCTGTAAGTCGAGGACTACTTGTGTGTCTGATATTTGAAAACAGCCACATGTGCATTTTAATATGATTATTTCAAGATGACAATTATTATTTACAATTTACTACTTGCAGTTTCCACACAATAGTTTTTATAATGCTCAGCTGGTTGGGAAAACAACACTCCAGCTTAGAGAAAGCACTGATTATGTATCATTATTTAAATAAAGAATTAAAAAAACCTAAAACTAAAACTAAACCAATGGAAACTTTAACAGGAGTGGGAAATCCGGGCTCTGGTCCTTTCTTAAGTACAAAAGCCAGCTGGATGGTTTTGAACCAATTCTTATCCCTAGGCTGAGAAGTCAAAAAATATCTATCCATCAACTCACAATGCACCATTGTGATAGGTTAGCCCATAACCTTCATAGCTGACTGAGGAATTCTGGGAGTTGAAGTCCATGAGTCATAAAAGAGCCCAGGTTGCCTACCCCTGGGTTAGCCCATAACCTTCAAAGGAGACTTTCATTTTGCAGTGCATTGATTCATAAAATACATACACGTGCACACTCATGCATGCAAATACTTTAAATGTGTCTGTATATTGTTCACACACACACACACACACACACAATCCCATCCAATTGTCACAAACTGTTGAATGAAACACAAATTATTGAGTGAAACACGATGAATAAAGTAAATTTAAGAGGATAAATCCTATAATGTCAAATCTAGTCATGGAACTAACAGGAGAAAAAAAATATATGGGAAACACATAAGGGGTAAAATTGAAAGTGCCTTTTCCCTTAGCGATAAAACCCAAATGAAGATGTTGCTGTTAAAAAGATGCGGCATGGATAGTTTCTTCTTAGAAATGATAAGCATGCATGCGTTTCCAAAATGTCAAAAAAAAAAAAAATCCCAAGCAAACACAAAAAAGGAGTGGAGAACAGATGGTGTTTCAATGGCACCCTCATGCAACAAGGGTTTTCTAAAGTACATACCTAGAAAGATTCTCTTGGGAGCTGTTTTGATTTCTTCATCCTTACTATCTGCAGCTATATTAAAATGTTGAAGAGAAAGCAAAGACAAAACAAAATAGTTTGACTCCTCATAATAGCAAGCTGTGAAAGTGCTCTAAATTAGCTTAAAGTTAAGACAGCTTCATGGCAGTCATCACGCTAGAATGCTCTTTTATATTTAAAAAAAAAAGCAATTTAATTCGCTGGATTCTGATATTAGGCATTCATACTGTACTCCCCAAAATTGAGAAAAACAGAAAAATCATTTAGAAAACATAAAGGACAAGAACCATAGCTTAAGCAAATATTGAATGCATAGATCAGTATCAAGCAATTATATTAGTTATCTATTTTACACCGCTTTACATTTTTTCGCTAAGAGGATTGTGAAAAAAAAAATTAAGCAAAGGTTTAGCTTAAATAAATCAAAACAGCATGTAAGAGCTCATCTCAGACGATAAATGATGCTTTACAATAATTCAAGAGATAAATATGTACAACAAGCTTATCTTAAATGCCAATAATTGAATTACAATATGAATAACAAATAAAATTTTAAGCTATATTCACTTATCCAAAGTGGTACAAAACTACAAAACCAGCAATTATTTTCATTCTTTGTAGCCAACAAGATCTATTGTTTGATAAAAACAGTTAAATTCTGTTCAAAACAATTCTAAATTTTGCAAATCTAGGAAATTGATATATGGATATTGAAACAAAGTAAATAAATTGCCTTTGATCGCCACATATGTGTATCTCTTAAACATATACTAAACCCAAACATTCACATTTACAAATTCATGTATAAAAATAAAAAGCATGAATTCAAAATAAAAAGCCAACAATACATACTATCAAAACAGGTTTTTGGATATTTCAGGCCATTAATTCATAGAACTCGGTATTTAAATCGTACAAGAACATGAGAAAAAATTTCTTGCATTAAAATTAGAAAATGACATTTCAGAAAACACTCCAATGTACGCTGCTTACTAAGGTAATAATAAGGAGGATACATTTGAGTGAATTACCCTTCTTAAGCAGAACAAGTTTCATATAAGAATAGACCAGAAATATATAAATTAAAGAGCTTTGAGCTACAGATTGGGTCATAAAACAGATGACTCAAGAAGAAAATTCAACAGTGAAGGCTCAATATTGACTGAAAAGCAAAGAGGAGACTAGATCTTAAAACAAATCTTTGATTAAAAGTTTATGAAAAGGCTCAATAATTCGCAACAATTTAACAAATATTCCAACCAGCACAAAACAGACTGTTTATAGATCCTCTAAGATTTTCCCATTAAGATTTGTTTCATGTAACACATTATGTCAGTATTAGGCAATGTGAAAATCATTACCGTAATTTCCTCCCAGAATTAGCTGCATGAGTGAAGGAACTTGGTTTTATATATATACACTGAAGCTAACCCATCCAATCAGAAAAGGACAAATATGGATTTAGGAGAATTAATAAGGTGAATAGACATATGGATGGACAGACAGGAAGGAAATCTAGCAAGTCTGCCTTCTTTGCATTGCCATATCGCACTTTAAGATGTTTGGACTTCCAGAATTCCCTAGCCAGCATGCCACCTGGGAATTCTGGGAGTTGAAGTCCACACATCTTAATGGCTTCCAAGTTTGAAAAACACTGGTATATCTGAATTGAGGAGGAGGGGAAAATAAGCGTGCGTAGATCTGTAAATTATATACATATTTCATGGGCTCATGACATCAGCTTTTTCTCTCATTTCTGTTATCAACCAACTTTCTTATCATCACAAAATGAAAAAGGAACATTTACAAAAGCTGAAGTATGAGAAAACTGTAGAATATTTGTTGTACTGCAACGGAAATATATATGCATGTGATAGTCATACCCTATTCCCACATTTTGTATTTGAAGGTCACACATAACTTGATGGAAGCCATTTGAACCTCTAAGAGATAAGAGTGCTGACTAGCTTGTCCCACAATTCATCTATATGTCACAGTGTTTGTTATCACCACCACATTCATGATAGATGGTAGGACTGATCCATAAAATGATGGAATGTTACGCTTCTGAGCAGAACGAGTACAAAATGATATTTCAAGTGGATATCACATGACATTAGAGCAATGAATGAGACACCAAGAAGCATATGAGTATATAATAACAATCTGGGAAAGAATGATCTTTCGTCTACAATTTTGCAAAAGAGAACAACAGAAGCCATTTCTGTAGTTCACTACTCCAATAAATAGGATCACTGTTTGAGAATTGCTTTGATTAGGATTTAGCATATTCATACACACACAAATAAAAGTAAATGCTTTCAAAATAAATTACATTTCCTTAATTGGAATGCTCTTTGTGTGTTAGATTATCAAAACAGAGTTTTGCCAAAATATAATGGAGCCAAAGAAAAGAGAGGAGAAATAATGTATTACAGAATCAATACGCAATGATTTCAACCAACCTGAAAAGGAACGTCGTTTTATATTCAACTCATTGGCCACACGTACTTCAGTGCACAATTTCAGCATCAATAACATTGTGGCTATCATTATAATGCTTTGCAATAGTAAAGGTGACTCAAAATGTCTCCCAAACCTAAAAGAAGAAAAAGAGATATCAAGTGGTTTAACAGCCAAAATCTTAATAGTTGAAATATAAAGTGCAAGCACTAAAAGGGAAAAAAAGACACTTTCATAAAACAAAATTCAGATTGGATATAAATTAATTTTCTGATTATCAAATTGTTCCAAGAACCGATCACCATCTTAAATCTTGGTAGGGAGCTAGCATATAAATCTATAACTAGAGAATCTTCTGACAAAGTCACATAAGATGCCAAATAAATTGTTCTGGGTAATTGTAGAAAAATATAACAAATAATGGAGAACAAAATTAGCAAATCAAGACTAACTTTTTTACATATTGGAGAAAAAAATTATAAAATAGTGGTACTGGAGATTCTTAATTTTAAATACAAACTTTTTGCCAATGAACCTAAATCTATGCCCAGAAAATCAGTTTCTCCCAGTAAAACCACTAGAGGGAGATCCCTTCTCCTCCTAAGCATTTACAGATCATTAATAAAATCATACACATGTAACAGCTTCACAAAACACATTCAAATATCTTAAATTAATACTTAATATTCATATATACTATCATTTTTAACTTAGCCATATTCATTTGCAGTATGGCAAGTGTAACCAACTAGGCTTCGTTCAGCACCAATTCCAATGGCCTTAACTTTGCAGGTGATTAATAAGGCATGCGTTCAGACAATCCAAAAATGAAATTATAATCAATAATTAAGAAATACTGTTTAAAGAACACTGGGGGCTAATAGCACACAAAGCAATAAAAGACTCACTTGGTATTTAACACTTGTGCTTGCAAGTTTGCTGATAAACATAAAAGATCTTAACTGTCTTTGGGTCATTCAGTTCAGGGAGCCAAAGTGTGTTCCAGGAAAGGCAGTGGTGAATTTAGTATCCTGGCTTATTGCCATAGCAAAAAGAGAAAGCTTAGCAAATGCAGCATTTTCACATACACACATGCAAATATCCTAAAGGCACGCACCTTTTGCACCGCAAAAAGTTTCTGGACAAAACAGGGAGAAAGAATTCGCTTGCATTTGCAACTCTGAGCTGTTTGTACTATCCAACGTTTGGAATAAAAAAAAACAAAAAGCAAAAGGAGAGTTGCTGGTGTCCTCTGGATAAAAACAAAAGGAAAAGAGAGAGAAAGCAAGAAAAAGGAGAGAAACATGTTCTCTTCTAATATGCTGAGTGGTTGAGAGCACTGGGAAGGGGGGATTTTAATAAATTATCAGGAAGGTGTCACCCAGAAAGATTTGTTTCCTGGGCTGATGAGAAAGGGGAAAAGGAAGAGATCTTTAGTATCGGAATCTATGATGAGCAGAATATTTTTCATTATTATCCTAACAAAAGCCTTCACTGAAATGTCTGGGTTTCACAACATAACTAACTTCACCAGTGGAATTGTTCCAATGGTTCAAGATTTACTGTTTAGGGTTATGTTTATGTATAAACATTTATATAGCCTATTCTTCCTTTTAGGAAAGTTTGAAGCCACCAGATCATACCTTGTCTCTCACAGCGTCTCTTGCTTTTGGACATCTGTAATTTCATATGTATTAATCAGTCAATTGGAAACATGGAGAGAATTCAGCAGGAGTGCTTACAGACGTTTTACTAAGTACATTGGGACTATCTTGTCTGAGTTTTAAGGGAATCTCCAAGTGTCCATGATGGAATCTTTCCTTTCAACTGCAGACTATATGAACCACGTTTATCCAACATATGTGAGAGCTTCCTGACAATTCCCTTTGTTCTTGAGACATGGATATTATGCAATATTGCATAATATCCCACAGTCAAAAGCTTTCCCAACTCCTTCTATGTTTGGGCTAAGTATTACCCCCAAGGGGTGAAATCCAACAGATAAAAGATAGCTGTAGCCAAGAAATTGTTTGTTGTTGTGAAGTCACTAAGTTGTGTCTGACTTTTTGCAACTCCATGGACCATAGCAAGCCAGGTCCCCCTGTCTTTCAGTGTTTTCCGGAGTTTGCCTAAATTCATGTTCATTGCGTCAATGACACTATCTAACCATCTCATCTTCTGCCATCCCCTTCTCCTTTTGCCTTCAATTTTTCCCCAACATCAAGGACTTTTCCAATGAGCTTTTCTCTTCTCATTTGGTGGCCAAAGTATTTGATCCAAGAAATATTTCTCACCAAAAAGAATTCAAAACTATTTTTATATGGGCTAAACTATGATTGATTATTATCATTAACTTCTAATACTTTTTAATTCTTGAGGATTTCTTTTGTAAGATGAGAAAGAGGAGACTATAAGAGCAGATTGAGTACTGTATATTAATGGTGTTCTTTGTGTCAAACTATGGAAGCAAAAGTTTGTCTTGAAAGAAGGATAGAAAGATGACACTTTTGAAGTTTGGTTTTGGAAGACTCCTGAAAATAGAAAATGGATCACCAAACAAATCAATCCAGTTTTCTCACTCAAGGTGCAAATGACGAGGCTCAAATTATCATATTTTGGACACACTATGTAAAGCCTTAGCCTTCTGAACAAGACTCTTATGCTGGGAAAGGTAAGACAAAAGAGAAGAAGAGGATGACCACCAGCAAACTGGATGGACTCATTTACACTGGTGATAGAATATAATAGAAAACAGAGTTGGAAGGGACCTTGGAAGTCTTCTACCGTAGTCCAATCCCCTGCTCAGGCAGGAAACTCTATATGGTTTCAGACAAATGGTCCAATCTCTTCTCACAAACTTCCTGTGTTAGAGTATTCACAACTTCTAGAGGCAAGTTGTTCCTCTAATTAATTGTTCTGTCACGAAATTTCTCCTTAGTTCTAGGTTGCTTCTCTCCTTGCTTAGTTTCCATGTTAGCTGCAGCATTGAAACAACTGAAGGACCAGGTTAGGGGTAGTTCATCAGAGAAGATGAATGTGGTTGCTAAAAGTTGACATTGACTTGACA